TACGCACCACCCAGCTCCATTATTAAGGAAAAAAACCAATTCGTTCCGGATGTAAAGAAACATCGGCTGACACAAGGGGCCATTCTTGCTGCGTGTTGTCTTATTTAAAATATGAATTTACGCCTTTATACGGCCAGTTTGACGTCAACATCCGCTCACAAAGGGCTCTTTTAACCACCGGCTTGCAAACCCCAAACTGACACTCGCTCACAGCTAACTAACGTTTCATCTTTAGTTCCACTGACGCGGAATAAAACATTGTTTGTTCTGGGCGTCTCCTGGCACAATCACCGCCACTGTTGCGCTAAATCAAGGCCGCACATGGACCCGAAAAATGCAGAGACTAGGTGGACTTTCCAAAAATACGACATGAGCATCCTTAGGCACATTCGGCTCTGAGATCATTCTTTAGTACTGAAACGAAATCAAGTGTTAATACATCAGCACCTGTATTAAAGAACCGGTATATTTCCCCCCGGCCTGTAGGGGGCGATGCACTCAGGGTATTCTCCCCAGCATATGAGGTCCGGGCCGATTCGGGCCACATATCAGGCGCTGAGCTCCTGCCCTACACTGCCGCTCACAGTCTGCCAATATATAGCTTTATTACATTTGATTTTAAAAGTATACTTTTCATTTATGTTTTTACTGTTAATTGGTTAATATTCATACACAGCTACATGTAGCAAACTCTCATTTTAATGGAATTGTCACTTGTGTCTTTATAGGGAATTCTAATTAATTTGTTCCATAAAATCATTTCCTCATTTGCAGTACAGATATTCACCTGAAGCACAAATGACCAGACCGAAGATGTCAGTGTGGGTGGTTTTGTGACTTTTCCAGAGTGAGCTAAACTCTCTCCAACTGTCTAGCCAGTCTCTTTCCGTCACTGAAAATGGAGACCATCCGGACCAGAGGCAGATATTTTAGGTCCAGAAAGTAAAAATCCAACCAGGATTTTAATTCAACCAACCAGTTGAGCACTCTGTGACTGACTCTTTATGCTCCTTGGTTGAAACAAAATGCTAGTTTGGATTTTTATGTCGGCCTCTGATCTGGACAGTAATTCAGTCCAAAGCCACGTTCCTGCTGCTAAGTAAGAACTGAATCAAACAGCAAACTGCAGATCGGCTTAGGGTAAGAGGACCCCAGTGAGTCAGTCTGCAAATAAAGCCCCAGGTCTGGCAGCAGGCGTCCCCACGGAAACGACATCAGAGGAAATACTTAGCGATGACGAGCAACGGTGTAACTTTGGTTTGAACACTGAGGGTTTAGGTCTCCACCCGTTTAGGGGGGGTGCAGTGGAGGTTTTGATTTATCTCTGGCTGCCCCTGATTTCGCACGTTATTGCGGCAGAGGTCACGCACACAGCCTGGCTCCACAGGACGGGAAGCAGCACCCTGAAGCTTCTTGGGACCTTTCGGGACACAAAACTCCTTTTGTCTTCAGCCTGTTAATGCGGATTGATATTTCAGCAACCCTTCAGGATAACATGGGGGGGGGGGTCGCATCTCTCCCCCCAGCCGCTGTCAGTGCTTAATCAGTGGGCAGCACTGTGACCTGAATCACGCTACTGCTCTGTGTGTGGGGCGTTTGCACAGGCATGGAGACTCATGGAGGGTTCCTGGGGGGGGGGGGGGTGTTCGCTTAGCTGGTGTGCCGATCTGAATCAAAATTATTCACTTCAAAATTATAACCACTGAGTTTTGTCATGCACACACACAGGTTTGTAATTATATCAGACTCTCCATTCATTTCTATGGGGTAAATTCTAATCCCAACATGGTGACCTTAACCCCTACCCAGCCCTAACCTTAACCATAAGTAACCAAACAAAATATGAGACTTTTGCCATTTAAAATTTTTTGATTGCATTCACAGATTTTTGTGGAGAACTGAAAAATGGTCCCCACAACTTCAAACTATTTATTACGTTGTGGTGCACATTTGGTCCCCACAAAGTAACATAAACCTAATCCACACACACGCACTCTAAGGGGAACCTTCAGTGTTTTTCCACTGTCCCCAAGAACCGAGCTGTACCACACACTGACGGTTTTCCATTGTAAATAATGTGAGTCGTACCCGAGCCGTACCCACTCTGACTCGGCCCTGCGAGTAGCGTGACCAAACCGAGCTGGTTGACTCACCCCCATCTGATTGGTCGAAATGCATAGAGATACCAATTATTTATTATTTAACCACATTACTCACGTGGTCGTGCTGATTGGAGTGTAAATCAAGCCACTGTGCTGGCAGTCGTGTAAAACTATAGCTCACACCATTATGTACGTTCCGTAATACTTGATAACGATAAACAACGTTACTGGTGTTTGTATTTACTACGCTGTACTTTTCCTCGTCATTTAGCCTATACCATAATAGGTGTGCAGTAGACTATACCATCTAGGGTTGTGCAAGTACACGGTGAAATCGCCTAACGGTGCACTTCTCAGAACGTGTCTCTGTTGTCGGAATCGGATTCGTTGACCACGTTTGGTTCTGGGCACTGATGGCTCTCCAGTTAGACAGGCGATATACAGATTAAATACAAGACAAATTATACACATAACGTGCCAATGATGATAATGAGCGTGAGGGATACGAGGTTGTCCGTAGATGTGAGGCAGGGTGTAAAGAGAGGAGTAGCTGCGGCCTGCCGGACGATAGCGGTCAGCTATCTGTGAGGGCGATGGCATGGAGAAGGACGTCATCACTAAGCAACGCATGACTGTGATGTTCATGCATCTGAGATGTAGCCTGGATAAGATCCACTGTAAATCTGTGTTCAGAAATCGCAGAAAGTGACTGACAGCATGTTAACAGAAGCACGTCGGCGCTGCGCCTGAAGGCCATTCTGCTCCTTCTGTGCTTCTGTGCTCCACTGTAACATCTTCTCCATGAGAAAAACAAGCTGGGGCTGACAAGAGCTGCTGCCAAATAAAAACAGCCTGCATGAAAAAGACGTATGAAGACCAACAAGTCAACAACTACCCATAACTATTCAATGGCTTAAATAAAGCAATACTATAGTGAGCCCATGTGTCATGTGCGAGGTAACAGTGCTGATCACCTTTGATGTGAACACTTTTACATGAATTATTTGACAGACTCTTTTGTCCAAAGCAATGTACATGTGAGGGTCCCAGAGCAGCAGCAGCCAGCTGCAGACACAGAGCCACTCGCTGCCACCACCACAGCTGTTACTGTCACCCCCAGCCAAAGCAATAGCTTGGTTTACTGCTGTGTCACTGATCTGCGATTTCTCAATATGTGGGAATGATCATGTTCTCATCACTTCTATTAATAATGTTTTATTAATATTTTGGTTCAATAACATATTATATGGGCTTTCTGTCTAAAATAATCCAGGGTACAATGTAGGAATTAGGAGTAATTAGTAAGAGCAGATTCTCCACGGCTTTCAGTCCGCGGTCGCCAGAGTGAGTCACAGAGGGAAGCGGGAGCTGAAATGAGCCTCCGGACGTCGGCTCCGGAGCGGCTGGCAAAACGCCTGTGCTGAAAGATCGGAACGCCGAAACTCCGAGCGGGGCGGCTCAGCCAGAACGCGTGGCCCTTTCGGTCCCGGGGGCAGCTGCTCTGGAGAAACACCGTGTTAATTACACAGGCAACGGCGGCGAGGGAGAGGGGCTGTTTCCGGGGAGTCTGACATCGCCTGGCATTTACAGACAGGAAGTGGGCGTGCCAGCAAAGGCCGTGGACGCGTCAGGTACCAGCTGGGAGTCTGCTCACACGTTCACACACCGGGCCGCGACGTGCCGCATTAACCACGGCCGGCCGCATCTCACACATTCCTGCCACCCTCTTACAAAAAAGGCAAGAGGCTAACAGTAATAAGTAATATGAATATGTAAATAACATCATAAAAACTGCATATCTCCAGAAAGAGGTTCATTTTAGCATATGTACATAACACAGGTATTCAGTTGCTTTTTCAATGACATGTAACATTGTACATTGTGCATAATGTATTAAAATGGTCATTCAGTTATGGGAGACATCAAGATGAACTAACATTTATGATTTAATATTTATTGTCCAGAACGTGTATTTTCCTCATCGCTACAGAGTTTGTCATGCACGCACGCACATACACACACACACACACACACACACTGGTTTGTAATTACATCATTGTGGGGACTCTCCATTCATTTCTGTGGGGAAAACTCTAATCCCAACATGACCATAACCCCCACCCAGCCCTAACCTTAACCATAAGTAACCAAACAAAATACGAGCTTTTTGGCATTTTTAGTTTTTTCATTGCATTCTCAACCAAGGCTCTGTTTTCCTCACCCCGGGGACGAGGCCCCAGAAATGCCGTCCCTTCCCCTATACTGCCGTGTGCGTGAAGCGCAGGACCCTTCACTCCCAGCACGAGGATGCCCCCCCCCCTCCCAGCTACATGACATTGGAATCCGCTGTTCTCAGATTTACCCCGTAGTGGAGTGCAGGATGATTCCCAGCTAAACAGACAGTGCAGTTCAACCCGATAGCATTTTAACAAAGACTGAATTTAAAGGGACTTAAACACCAACGGAACTGAGACCTCCCCAAGATTCTGTCCTGGTTCTACCTAGTTACAAGTAAAGGACCTCACAGGGGGAGTCGCTCAGGGGGGAGAGTCACTCAGGGAGGGAGTACGCAGGCAGTGGTTCTTTGAGGAACATCGTATCTCCTCTCATCTTTAGGAATTTGCTGCAGGCCACAGCCACAACCCACAAGCCCGAGGTTTGGGGGAATGCAGGAGGAGCAGAAAGGAGGAGGAGGAGGAGGAGGAGGAGCAAAGGGGAAGCAACAGCGAGGCAGCCGCGTGACAGAGGCACACGTGCTCATCGTCACGCAAGAGCATCATGGTGGGAAAGCAACGTGAAAATGCCTGAACAAAAGACAGCATGTCCATGTTAGTCTTCCATCCATCCATCTATCCATCCATCCCTTTTATAACCACTTGCCCTGTTGAAGATTAGTTTCTCATACTTAGGATTAATTTACTGTTAGCATTTTCATCCATCCATCCATCAAAATTTAAATCAAATGACTGATAAATCCATCCATCCATCCATATATCCATCCATCCATGCATTTTCCAGCTGCTCAGCCCTGTCCTGTTAGTATATTACTAGGGTACTTGGCAGCCGATGAAGAGAGAGGGAGTTAAGTACGTGGTCTTGGCACACGGCAGCCTGACATGCAGGTCCACACGCAGCTCATGTGCTAGCCGAGCCCACGGTCCCAAGCCAGACAGAGTGGCACATTCGGTGTACAAAACGCAAGCTTGACACCATTAGAGATCACACCCCTGCTGTTTCCCACCCAGCATGGGCAAACAGTACATCTCTGGGTCATTTGTGCACCAACACTGAACTCCCTAAACTACACTAACACTGAGCTCCCTCAAACACACCAACACTCAACTCCCTAAACTACACTAACACTGAGCTCCCTGAAATACACCAACACTGAACTCCCTCACCTCTGGGTCATTTCTACAGATTGATTGAAAAGATGCAACAAAGCTAACTGTATGTTTCACTGATATAAACGAGAGGCAGCGAGAGTTACCTGACAACTTTAGTGATTGTATTCAAATTTATAAAATTGCTTTGGATAATAGTATCTGCTACACGGCTAAAGCATGTCGAAATGACCATTCTTCACACATTAACCCTTTTAATTGATCTGTTTGCACCCAGAGTACCCTGGAAACAGACAATATGAAACAGGACAGCCAATCACCATAGCGGCTAAAGACCTTAGCGGCAGTCCTCACTCGGGCTCCCTGTGACCTCCTGGGTAATGCTGGATTCTGCTCTTAATTAATTAGCCTTTCTTAATTAATTAGCAGCTCTGAGAGGAGCGCTTTTCACAGACATGGGGCGGCGAGCTGGCAGCCCCACTGCTAAGCAGTGAGTTTTGGTGGGTCTCCACCACACAGGGGTCTAATCCAGCACTACACAGGGCTGCAGAACAGTGGGATGCGCGCAAAGGTAACGGCGCTATCGTGCCAAATTGAAGGCACTCAAGATATCGGACCTGTCCAAGGACCAGCAGAGGCCCCATAAACGTTTATGGCTCTGCAGGGAGTTTGCTTAACATGTTCTATCAGAGATAACGGCAGATTCAGCCAACGTTACGTTAATGTTAGCAGCAGTGCTCACGGCCCTGTTCTCCCAGAGCAGGCACACCATAGCAGAGATCCGGACTACGTCTGGGAAGCTGGCGTGCAGTTCTCTATCCAGACGGACAGCAGAAGAGCGGGTCGGCCCCCGGGCTGAACTAAACCATGCCGTCTGTGATATCTGATGGTATTTAAAAGTCAACTGCGAACAAAGCATCTGTTCTGACTGCATCCTGAACGAACTCCCCTGCAGGGTACCTGACCCGTATAATAGATTATGAGCAGTTTAGCATCCTGATAGGTGGAAAGGGATGAACATGTGGCACGGCAAACAGCTGTAATTTGGCCCTGAAGGCAGAGAGTCTATTCGCTTCGGCCCTGCATGAGCGCTAAGTAAACAGCGGGGAACGGAGAGTGGAGGAATGCGGCCACATAGATGTTTTTGAGGAGCCCTGAACACTCGACCAACCTTTTAACCTCTACGGTATCCACTGGTGACCTCACTGCGACCATGTTGTGCTAATCCATATCCGAGCTCCAGCCCGGTCTGGCCTTTCGGTTTGTCAGCCCAAAACGCTTCACATGTCAGGCCACTCAAATACGGCTCAAAAAAGTATGTGTCTCTGGCAGATTCTCGCAGAGGCACCAGTGAATGCAGGCGTGAATAACCAAGTTTCCTCGCTGCACTATAGCCGCTATTCATGGGAGGAAGCAAAGGGCCTTTGTTCAGATGTTTGTGTGTGATGTGATAAGTTATTTGCTGCCCGAATGTCCAGCAAATGGTGCCTTTTACAATTAAATGTTTCGGCAGGATCGACGAGACCCAGCAAACCATTATTTACACCCTACAAAAAAACTGATCTTAAAGCACAAGAGTTCCCTTCCTCAGCAAAAAACCTTCATTAACAGCAGAAATACAGATAATTTTTTTTACTACATGTTAATCACCCATCTATCCATTTTCCATGCACACGCACACACACAAACAGTCATTTACACCTATGAACTATTTGGTAACTCCAATTCATCTCAGCGTGTCTTTTGACTCGGAGAGGAAAGTGGAGAACCTAGAGAAAACCCACGACAACACAGGGAGAAACTCTACGCATGTAGAGCTGGGGCGGAGACTTAAACACTGGCACTGAGGGGAACCTTTGAGAACAGAGTCTAACTATGACAATAATGAATCTAAATTCTACAAATACCATCCGCCAGTCATCATTTACAGGCACAACGTTTTTTCTTAAAGATGCCAAGGAATGAAAGCATTGGGTCTAATTATGAGCATTCTTCACTGAATTAGCGTTCTGAGTATGGTAAGACTCTGCTTGGCTGTGTCCTGATCCCTAAATTTATCCCTTACTTATTTTTTCCAAGGTTACAGGTCATTTGGCTAATTAAATAACCTATCAGTCTTCAGACAAGTCCATCTGAGCTTAGCGTTTTCTCTTTAATGGCCCAGGGCTCTGGCTGGTACCGCTAAGCTAATTTAGCCTGGCTGTGGAGCTTAGAGAGGGCTGTGCTGATCTACAGAGCAGCAGGTTCAAAGTGTCTCGCAAGTCAGTGGGCGACAGGGGCCATGCACTCATTCACACAAGAGAACCTCCAGAAACACCTCAAACTCATCACCTGGGACCCGGCAAACGTGACAAGTGAAGGAACTTGGCAAGATCTAAAGGCAGGTATGACCGGGAGCTTTGCTGAGAGCTTGAGAAATGTGTGGTAAGCTTCAGAAAACCAGACCTGAGAATGTATTAAAGAGTGTCCATTTGATCATACAGTAAGGCACCCTAACCCAAAGCGATGAAGAACTCAAATACACTGAGCTCCCTCAAATACATCAACCCAGAGCTCCCTCAAATATACCAACACTGAACTCACTTCAACAACATTGACTGCGACCGATAACACTATGAGAAAATTGTTTACTCAACCCAAAAGCCTACTGATACATCTGGAAAAGTTTAATCCTGGGGTGTTAATAAATTAATATTTAAACAGTAAGGAGGGAACCTTTTCTTGATCGTTTGGTCACCTCTGGTTGACCAAGCAGTCCAACAGGTGATGGACAGGCTAAAAGGTACAGACAGACCACATGACCGACTCTACAGTCGCACAACACTGACTGTGAGTTGGCGCCATCCCAGCAGCAGCCCATCAATAAAGTTTGGATAGAGAAGAACATTCCTTAATTAATTCCTTAATTAAAACCAAACACATCCAATAAGAATCAGGAAGAACATAAGAGAATTTCCAGTCTTATAATGAAAACTCCCTGTTCTGTGTTTCAAGACCATAAGCACATGAAACCAAAATTAAGGCATGAAACACAAGATACACTTTTTCATTATTAAACACTGACATCATGCAAAATCTGTGGTGTTTAAACGTCACTATTAAGCTGAAGTGCCTCAGACTGTCGGTCTTAAGTTTCCTTCTGTGAATGAACTGAACAGGAAATCCCTAGACAGCATGCTTGGTCATACTTACGGGCAGTGTGTCATATGCATATTAATTCTGGAGTAATTACACCTCACTGTCCCCATGGCACTGAAATATTTCACTAGTCTGGAGTCCCCCCAGACTAACGAGGGATCAAAAGACGTCAATGGAGCCCTGCAAATAGGATTAAAGATGTTTGAAGCCAGGAGGCTGGAAGCTCAGAGTGCATTAGAGAGGAATTCTCCCAGGATAAATAACCCCCGTACGGCTCTGCACACAGTTTGCTGGGCAGGGCTGACATTTTCCCTTCAGGTCTGCAGGATGCTCTGCGGGATCCGCAGGAAAGTCGGGAGGAGAGAAGAAAGATGAGAAGATGGGAACCGCTCAGAGATGGAGAACGAAGGCCAAGAGCCAGGCGTAGCTGACGGCGAGGGGCGGGACTTACCTTCAGCACCTCCATGGGTACCTGGGCGCCGGCTGGCAGGCCAGGTGCGGCGCTGACGTCGATGGCAGGCGTCTGGGCGCTGGGGATGCTGCGCGGCTGCCGCTGCAGGTAACGTGAGGCGCGCTGCTGCTCTCGCCGCTCCTGTTCCCGCAGCTGCTCCCGCATCAGCTGCTGCCGGAGTGAGACGCGTGACGTCACGGCTGATGTCGTGTGGGAGCCGTGCTGCTGTGACGGATTACTGCTGGGGGGGGAGGAAAGGAACCAATCAGAACGCGGACGGTGGTGCCAGCTCATTATATCCATCAGCAATGAGCGGATCCAGTGAGGGGGGGCTGTAGGCAAAAGAGGCGGAATGTGAGAAAGAGGTGAAAGAAAGGCAAAAAGGGAGGGAAAGTGAAAGCTGGGCTAGTCACATTAACCTAGATGAGAAAATATCCAGTGGCCTTAAAAACATGGTGTATTCATGGCGTAAAACACACAGCTTAACTGCCTTTACGCTCAGCCTGACTGACCTTTACCTGCTGTAATCTAGCGTCAGATAAAGGGAAGGACATGCAGGCCCTTCTGTTACGGCATTAATCTGGGGGTTCGACCTACATCCCCCCACACAGATCCTGACCATAAGACTTGGGCTGGGCCACCCACGTCTTCAGATAGACAGACACCCTCCCCGCCCCCCCCCCTGCCTTCATGACCCCCAGCATCGGATTTGGGGACCCCACAGGTCCACGCTCAGTCCCTCCTAAACCCACCCGCTGCCGCATCGGGTCCGGGTCCTTCACAGATGTCAAAGGTCAAGCTCTGCACCTCATTACCAGCGTCCCTACACCCATGGCCGCTCACCTCGGAGAGCCGGAGTTTGGATATGAGGGAAACAGGCAGCAAAATAAGAAATGATTTGTTTGACAAACCATCCGATTCCTGCCATTTGCATCGTATCCCGCATTCAGAGGGCGCCTGGGCCGAGCATGATCTTTTCCTGGAAATAAAGGGATGGTGGCCGTGAGGCAGCTGTGAGCCGGGGCTGGAGGAGCTTCTCACAAAGCTGACACAGCTGTCAGGCAATCACACTAATTACATGGCTCCAAAGGGAGAGCGGCTCGGCCCGCGGATGTGACCCCTCGTGGAATTTACATACGCTTAGAGATGGAGAGACGCTCCCAAAATCGAGGCGACCTCCCCTTCCAAAGCACCCCCACGGCACCCTGGAGCGGCTCTGCACGCGGAGCTCGCTGTCGCTTTACGATGCTTATAAATAGCTGAGGGAACCTCTCCTACCTCACACTGCCGTGGCCGGTTCCGTGGGGCTCCAGTCTCAGGACACAGTCGTCAAGGGCGGAGTACGAGTGCCGACGGAGAGCTGCGTCAGAATAAGCGAAATGCACCCACGTCGCTCACTGTTCACATGGTGCACATTATGATTTACTAGGTGCTAATTTCCGCTAGCAAGTCTGCGAGAATCACCTTCTTATGTTGCCATCAAACGCTAACAGAATTAGCATTCACTTGCGTAAATTTACATTACGAATCCATTCCGCACAGCTGTTCTACAGTACTTTTTTAAGTAGGTGGCGGGAAATTTTCAAGTTCTGAGTTATCGGGAACGCATCGATCCATCGCGATGTGTGATACTACTAATAACGAATAAAATATATAGAACATGCTCCTTTTTAATTCAGAAAATTCATGCATTTTGACGCAGAACAATTGGTATCTCCATGCATTTCGACCAATCAGATGGGGGTGAGCCAAGCAGCTGGGTCTGGTCACGCTACTCGCAGGGCCAAGTCAGAGTGGGTACGGCTTGGATACGGCTCAGGAATGGTTCGGGATACGGCTCGGGTACGGTTCGGGGTACGGCTCGGGTACGGTTCGGGGTACGGCTCGGGTACGGT